GGATTGGATTCATGGAACAGATAGACAGGTAGGAGTTACTCATTCTGGATGCTCCAGATTGCTGATGATGAAATGTTGTAGTCAGATGCCAGCAGGGAGGACGAGCAACATTTTTCCTTCTGCAGCGCTAAAGATCTATACTGCTCCACCTGGACAAGTTCCAAGAACTGGACAGTTGTCCGCAGGGTTCCCAGGTGCTATGTTGTTGTTGTGAGTCACCATGGAGTCAGCCTCTGACTCATGGCGACCCCATGCGCAATGGAACGAAACGCTGCCCAGTCCTGCACCATCTCCCTGATTGGTTGAGGATCAGACTATTGTGATCCGTAGGGTTTCACTGGCTGATTTTTGGAAGTAGCTCACCGGGCCTTACTTTCTAGTCTGTCTTGGTCTGGAAGATATGCTGAAACTTGTTTAGCATCATAGCATCATGCAAGCCTCCACTGACAGACAGGTGGTAGCTGTGACTGAGGTGCATTGGCCAGGAATCAAACCCCGGTCTCCCGCACAGAAGACAAGAATTCTACCACTTATCCACCATTTCCTTTACCAAATGTTGTGGATATGTGGTTTTCACTTGAGTAAAGTGTGATAGGTTTCTGAATTCTGACTCTGGTCAGTCCCTGAGTCCTCCCAATTACTCCCTGTTGACATATCCCCTCTGTCTCTCCTTGCTCCTCTTCCCCCGGTCTAACAACTTTATCTATTCTTGTAACATATGTGTATGGCATGGTGGGTGGGGGAAGGAACGGACATTGATGGGAAGAAAAGGGTTCTATTTTATTTCGTATCTTTTCAATTTTATACTTGCACCTTGACTTTTCTCTGGTACTGTTATGATAACTCTTCCTTGTGGCAAACTATGTCTCTTTTAATCTTCTAAATTGATGGGGGGTGGGGGAATCTGTACAACAGCATAACAATACATCGGGGGAGGGTGGTGGAAGAGAAGTCCTATTAATGAATATATCAAAATATTGTCACACCATTTATTTGCTAATAGCTTGTCCACAATCTCCTTTCATTTTTGACAGCTGTGGAATATACAGGCCATATATATTCCACAATTATATATAAGGCAGTAAAGTTTGTTCTTAAATGCAAATCAACAGATGTGTCACACAAATGGAATAACCAGTGAAGGGGTGTGTGGGTGTGGATGGCTTTTGTTAAAGCTGAAGGATTCCTCAGGCTTTGTGAGGGAAACAAGGCTGCAAACAGCAGCATGCTTCACACAATATTCCGTCTCTAAAGGCTCTTTGCTCTAGAGAGCAAATTCCATCTCAGCCACAGGGGGGCCCCTGCTCCCCTGAACTGCCGGTCTGCCTCAGACGGGGAATTCAGAGATAAAATGAGGAGTGGATTTGGGACTAGAACAACAATAAATGTATTATATTTTTGTACAGGGGTGACTGGGATAGTTGGCAGTCATCCAACATTTCCTCCAATTGGAGATACCTGTGGGTGGCAGTGGCAAAGTATTAGGTTGACTGGGCTTTGAACAAAAGTCCCCGGCCTTACTAATAGCTGCATATATACATAATATCCTAATAAGTCCCCTGCCCTCACCCCAATTAACACTCCCACATCACTGAGGGCATCACAGGACATGTTGCAACACCGGTATGACTGTGCCCTGCGTCACTGAGACCAAGGGTGCCACTGTGTTGCTAGCGGTGTGCCTGTGAGGGCTGTACCCATCACGAACAAAGGGCAGGGGGCTCTTCCAGAACCACTGGCTCTGCGGCACAGAACTCAGGCTTCTGTCACCATGTCTCCTTCTAGGAAGGAGTGTCACTCTCTGTGGTGTTGGCTTCCTGCAGCCATTGAGCAAGGAGCAGCTGGGCAAACTGTCATCTCACTGTGGCTGCAACCTCACTAAAAATATTAACCATGATGATCAAGATGAATAACTCTTGCACCTCCGGGGCTTACACAAGTTTACTTATCTCTCTCACCAGGGCTGAAACGTTGCTGTTCAGCTGGCGTGTGTAAGATCTGGGTTTCATGGTCCCCAGAATAAACAATCAGAACAATAGCTCTTCAAGTTCTGAAGCTTTTGTTGGGTCCATTTTCTGCCAAGAGATAGTTACTGCTCTCTAGAATAACGGAGGATTCAGTTATTTGAAGCAAAGTTGGAGCAAGGTGGGGGGAGCTAAGTGAGATGAAATGGGGGGAGGAGGGTGAAGGCAGAATAGAGGGTTAGCTGGGACTGTCCCTCCCTCCAAGACTCAAGAGTGGCTGGGATGCAGCAAAATTGCTACGGCTGCTGGTACTCATGGCCTTAATCATCTTCAGAGTGGGGTGATGCTGCTGAAGCTGAGAGAGAATTGCTTCAGCGGGGGGCTCTTTAACCAAGCTTTTGTAAGAGTTGTACAGTCTGGCCATGGCTGCTTCTTCCACTTGCCTAGGCTGGCTTAACTCCTCTCCATTCCACGGCGGGGGTGAGGAGAACCAGCTTCCCATTAACTTGGGGCCTGCGTTTCATCAACTGCGAACAGTCAGGACCCCAGCTCTGGGCCATCTGTGACCTGTTGTTCGGTAATAGCATGGTTATCCCCGTGTTCGGCTCCCTCCCCAAGTACTTAGTGTTAAATCATAGGGGAAGGAAGTGTGAGCAGAGAAAAAACAGCACTATTACATGACCCCCGATGAGACCGCTGTGATAGAATTAAAAGCTGCTGCCCTAGGACATTCTAACAGATGACATTATGAGGTTGCCAAGGTAACCCACCAGGATACAGTTCCAGCATCTTTGGGGTTGATGCTGGGTGGGCGAGGTCAGTTAGAGGTGAGGCCAGGTTGCCCAGGGCTTACACCTTGGCTGGCCAGTCCATGGCAGCCACGTGGATAATCAGGGCAGCCCAACAACGCAAACCAAATTGGCTCCTCCTTGGATATTTCAGGTGAAAAAGAATTAGAATACTCTGGATAATTATTGCAATGTAGGTTTCACAAAGACTTGAAAGAACTGGAAGCTAATGACTCAACCTTTCATTCCATAAATGTTTACTGAACACCTACTATGTGCCAGGTAGGGAAGCCTCAGAACATCTAGGGGGAAAGGTCAAGATTTCTAGAAAACTCTCAAAAATGCAGATCTATGCAGGGAAAAAAAAAAATTTAAGCCATTTACGCACCATCAGAACTCATGAAAACGTTGTAGAAGAAAATGGAAACAATCAGAACAACTTATTAACCCCACAGACCTGGCTTAAAAAAAGAAAAGAAAGAAAAACTATGTGCAAAAATTTTATAGAGTAGAAATGATTTGCTTAAAAGAGATCAACCCCCTCCCCAACCACAATCAAGTTATGCTGCATTTTCTTCCTTCTGTCTTTATCTTCTTTTAAGTACCACGTGGTTACTTTTGAACCACTGACTATCACCTATAAATGCTTATATTCTTTCTCTAATGCAGTGTCTGTTAAAAGATCGGGAAGATTTCAGATAGGCCTGCCTTACGGCAACTCTAGGCCTCAGGCAGTTGAACACCATAAAAGTCCCTCCTTTTGCCTTCACAGATGGGTGTTCAACATTCCTGCTGGTGCCACTGGAGACTTGTCCCCACACATTAGTCTTTGACCCTGGAGTTGGGCCTTCACCTTGTCATGATATAGTCTCCAGATTGCAAGCCCAAAGGGGGAGGGGGATGAGTGATGTGAGGAAGAGGTGGGGGTGGAAAAGAAAGGGGCAAAGGGGGACAGGGGAGAGTGAGAAAGAAAACAGGACTGGGATGGCTAGAGAAAACGAAAACAATCACGAAAATTGGCCAGAAGTGGTAACAAGAAGAGTTTCTGAAAATGAAATAGTGCTTCCTTACCTCCTGGGGGTGTTATTAATACCAGAAGGGCCTCATTAAAACACCAACGGTGACTAAACCAACCCTCCACCAAGTGGGCTCAATGCTTACTGATCCCTCTTTTTCCAACCAGAAAATGTAGATAATTAACTAGATTATTTCAGCTGTCTTGATCCACCCCTTTAATAATAAGAATTGGCCAGACTGTACAACTATTATAAGTTATAGAGTACTTCCCTAAGCACTTTACATAAACAACGAATTTAATTCTCACAATAACCCATGAGTTAGTGCTATTTGACAAATGAGGAAGCAGGTCCAGAGGGGCAAATCACTTGCCCAAAGTCACACAGCCATTAAGTGGAGGGGTCAGGAGGCCAACCCAGGCCATTTGGTTCAAGGGTTCCGCAATTGATCCCCACGCTTTAATTTCGCTTTGTTTAAATGGTTCCCGAATGAAAAATCTTTTATAGTGAGCTCGCCACCTCACATCTTCACTTAATAACACAGCCGGGGCCGGCGCTTTATTTACAGACTTTTCTCCTTGGGCGGCCTCCACAAGTTGCAGAGAAAGATGACTCCTCAGATCTTCTCAAACCTTGGGAACACCTGAAGTAGGTGGAATAGGGTGTGGCAAGGAGGACGTGGAACAGTGGCTTTATCTTTCCCCCTAAGCATTAAACCCCAAGAAATAACATGAGCAGCACCTGAGCCGCCTGAGGACGCGCCCACCTGTGGAATGGGGACCAAGGCATGGTCTTGTCTAAGAGTCCCAACCTCTAGCCATCACACTTTGGTGGCAGTAGCTTTTCCAGCACATCGTCTCAAATCTTGAGAAACCGGATTCCAGTCCCCCATGCGCGCTGCTGACCCGCACGCAACCTTGGTAAGGACAGGTCAAGAGAGTGGGCCCGTGAGTCTCAGGCCCCTAGGCTGTGGGGTGGCGAACGTCGGTCGCTGGGTGGTTACGTTGGCAGCGCGCAGGTCGCTGGCCGGGTGGAGGCGGCAGCGTGGAGGGAAGAGGGGGCGCAGGGCGCGGAGGGGGCGCTGGGCGGGCCCGCTGCTCCCACGGCGACTGTCAGGGGCCGCGCGGCTTCCCCCGAAGATGCAGCGCAGCATATTTTGTACATGAGTTCAGAGGAAGAGGAAGTGTAGCCGGCGGACGCGCGGCGGCGGCGGGGGCGCGTCGGGGCTGGAGCCGGAGCGCGCTGGGCTCAGGGCGCAGAGAGCGGGAGCGCGGCGGCCGCGGGCTCCGCTGAGGGACGGACGCCGGGACCCCACGCAGGACAGACACAACCGTACGCTGCGCCACCGCCTCCCGAACCCTCTCGTTGGCGCCCACGCCCTCCCCACGCAGCGTCCTTTGCTTGGCACAAACTTTCCTCCCGGGACGGAACACACTGTCTCCGAGACCCCGCGTCCGCACAGTCTCCTTCGCTGGCCCCGAACGGTAGGTTGGGGGAGTCAGGGTTTGGGGTGTCGGCGGGTGCAGGCCCCTCCATTTAGCCCGCAGAACGGGTCCCCGGCGGGCCGGCCGAGCCTCGCGTGGCGCCTCCTTGCAGGATGCCCGGGCTGGGTCGTGTTTCCCGGGGCCGGGGCTCCGGAGCTGCCAGCGGAGTCCCCAACCCGGGTGGGGTGGGATGGGGGCCTATCCAATGGGTGCAGGCGTGTTGGGCCAACTTTTTTGGAAAAATCATCCCTGGCGCGCTTTGAAGAGAGGCACCCCTTAGCAGCCTGTTGGAGGTCATGGGTTCTGCGAGCTCCCGGGTGCCTAGGAAGGAAGGGGGTGGGGGTGTTTGAGACTACAGGTGGGTTCAGGGCACTGCTGCATGGGGTCCTAGGCAGAGATCGAGCGGGAGTTCGCCCCGGAGCCCAGGTTTGAGTAGGGCGCAGGGCTGGGAGCGAGGCGGGGGTGGGGGGTGGGGGGACGGAACCAGGTTGCCCCTCAGCGTGCGCCCTGGGAGGGGGTATTTGCTCCCGGGGGAGGGGTGCTGGGTAGGTGGAAGCAGACGTGCCCCGCGCTCAGAGGGAGCGTCGTAGCCATTGGAGGCTGAGAGACTCCGGGCTCTGAGAGAAGCCAGCACCGAAAACGGGAATCTCCCCTCCCGTAAGGGTTTTTCCTTCCTTGTCCTAACCCACTACGCTAGGCTCAAGGGTCTCCAGGGTGGGTCTGGGAGGGCATATGGTGGTGTATATTTCAGAAAGCCTCGCTGTCAGGCACTCTCACCCCCCTCCGGCGCTAGGACTGGTGCCCTTCACCTCGGGTATCACGGCCGTTGGCAGCAAGAACCGCGTGGAGGCCAAGGTGGTGGACCCAGGCGCGCTGCCTGCTGTCTCCCAGTTGGCTTGCGCTTGGCTGGGCTGTTTGGCTGTGGGTGGTCCCCAGGGACTCTGGGTGGTGTCGGTGAGTTGTTTGGGGGTTTAAAAACAAACAAACAAAAAGTTTTTTTTTTTTTTTTTAAAGTCTGACACTAATCCCTGTATTTTGAGTGGCTGTTTGGTTTCCAGCAACAGACCTTTCTTGTAATGGGTACAGCTGTTTTCAGATGCTGGGCACAGAGTCCAGCTAGGCGTCTTCCAGCCCCTGCCATGGTGTGTCATCTCAGGATAAGTGAGGCCTTGCCAGGAAGGAAGCCGGGTGTAATGCGAGCGACCTCTGGGCCTGTGGGTAGGGCACGCTCTGCATCCAGCGTGCCCCTGGCCGCCAGGATTCCTAATTTGTACATCTGAGCTGCTAAATTCCCTACCATATTCAAGTAACCCCAGATGTCACCAAATCCCACAGAGGAGTTAGGCAACAAGCTGTTTGGGGCTCTTTGGTGCGTGTGTGCGCTAACCTCAGTGAAATCACTTTAACCTCAGGCTGAGTTCTGCATCCTCTTTTGCCTTCAGTGGGGTTTCTGGCCCGCCTGAGTAAATTCAAGCCCCAGAGCTGGGACGTCATGCTCTGGATGCATTTGTATATTAAGTCCCTGGTATGTTTTTCTTTGTTCGTTTTTTGGCTGCATGGACGTGGGGCAAATGGAAGTGTGGAGTGTGTGCAGTTAGCTAATAGATTCGGTACAAGAGTTCAAACAGAATAAACTGGGAATACAAGTCAGTGAGTTCTTTTTCTCCTTCTTGAGCAGGAATTTTCGGCTTACATTCAAATAATTGCTTTGTCTGTAGGGAAACAGGTAGAAAATCTTCGGCGTGAGTGATGCGAGTTCTTGTAAAGCTACTTGTGTTCTTCCAGTCTTCACTTTTCAGCAGAATTGAAGCGATGTGGGCCCGTAGCCTAGTGGGCATGGGTGGCTTGCGGGCTAAGCAGGGGGCACTGTGACTCTTCTTCCCCAACATCTCAACTTTTTTTTTTGAAAAATTTTAAACCTGTAGATGAGTTGCAGGTATAGTGACCACCCAGATACGCACCACATAGCGTGTATCATTAACATTTTGCTATATTGCCTTAATCACACATCTGTCCATCCATCAGTTCACCTCCTTGTTTTATGCGTTTTAAAGTAAATTAGAGACATTCTGGAGTATGTCACTCTTAAGCATTTCAGCACACATTTTATTATTTAGAGTCTAATACACATTCATATTTTTTGAGAAAAATTTACATACATATAGTGAAATGCATAAATCTTGACAGTAACATTTGCATAATGTTTTGACAGATACGTACACCTGTGTAACTCCAGTCCCTATCAAGAGGGAGAACATTACCGTCACCCAGAAAGTTCCCTCATGCTCATTCCTGGTGAATTCCTGCCCTCTCCCTCCCAGTGGCCCCCATTTTTCTGATTTTTTTTCTCACCATAGGTTAGTTTTGCCTGTTCTTGAACGTCATGTAAATGAAATTATACAGTATGAGCTCTTTTGTGCCTACTTCTTTCACTCAGCATATTTTTGAGATTCATCCATGTAATGCATCAGTACTTTCTGTCCTTTTTATTGCTGAGTCATATTCCAGAGTATGACTAAACCACAGTTTGTTTATATATTCCCATATTGCTGGACACATGGGTTATTCTCAGTTTTTTGACTGTTATAAACAAGGCTGCTATGAACATTTGTGTACAAGTATTTGGTGGACATAGGTTATCATTACTTGTGAGTAAATACCTAGGGTTAGAATATCTGGGTTATAGAGTAGGTATATGTTAACATTATAAGAAACGGCCAGACCTTTTTCCAATGTGGTTGTACCATTTATACTCCCACCAGCACCAGCAAAGAATACAAGAAAGTGCTACAGCCCAATTTTCCTATTCCACAGTCAGGAGCATAATTTGACAAATGTTCTTCTGGGGCCAGAGGGACCCAGAAATTGGAACCAACTGAGACAATCTGGAATATGTTGTTTTCATAGGTGGAGGGACTGTGAGAAATCCCTGACTCTGCCAGTAAATGGGTTTATTCTAAATTACTGCAGACTGATGAGACCGGATCTTTTATTTTTAGAAATCTTCAGAGAATGTACCCTGGGTTGTGAAAGAAGATTGAGTACTTTCTACAAGAAGAAAAATAACCCCCAAACCCCATAGAATTCCAGTAAACTTCTGCTGGAAACTCCTGGGGGACTTCAGGCACATTGGTCTGGTTGACGTGAACTTGGTGGAGATTCCCTTTGGATTTCACCAGCTTGGGAAGCTGGCTGTTGAAAGGGGTTGTGTTTGCTTTGTGAGCAGGTCAGATTTTTCTTTTTGAAGACTCAGAGAACAGTTTTCCTATTGAAGTGAGAACTTGTCAGCGCCCCTCATTTTGTCCTGGCTGAGAAAATGGATCTGTACCCTTCCATCCCCATACATCTTAGTCACTCTCAGCTGGGCCAGCAGCAGAACCTGGTCTTGGCTGGTCCATAACGTAGGAATTGAACCTCCTTGCCTTCCCCAGGAGCCCAGGATACGGTTTTGACATCTTGCCAGGGGATCCCAGTGTGGACTAAGCTTTGCAGGGGTCAGAGTATGGTTGGTGCAGAGTCTTGGGACTTTGCACCGTGCTTGGGGACTGTTCCTCTCATCCAAGAGCCTAGTCTCGTGCTTGCCACAGAGTGGGGCACAGTCAACGATGGCTGAATGATTCTTGGTACCCGTCTGAGATATTACCTCTTTAGAGGTTGACAGTGGGTGGTGAGATGTTGGGGCCCAAGATGTATTTTACTAGGCGCCACTTTTATCATAGCCGGGAAAACAGGTTCAGCATGTTTGGGCTTATGGGAAACTTTGCTGACTATAAACTTCTATTGTATTTGTACCATTCTTATTTTATTACAGATTTTACTTTAGTTATTAACAAAATAATAATTATAGCTACCACTGCTTACTCTTTGCCAAATCCTGCTAGGCACTTTACATGCATTAACTGAATTTAATCCTCATGAGAGGTGGGTACTGTTATTATCTGCACTTTAGTCTTGAGGAAACTGAAGCTTAGAGAGGTCAAGTAACTTGTCCCAAGTGCACATTTTCATGTTTCCTTGACGTTAGGGGAAGAGACCATGACGTTCTAGTTTAGCAAGTGCAGACTTCACCTACGAGCACAGATTTCCAAATACACAAAGCCAAAGTGTAATAGAAATGTACTCTGGATAAACAGAAGGAAGCTGCAAGAAATGATACATAGAATTCACTTTCTTTAAGTCTTTTTTTCTTTTTGTTTTTGTTTTAAGCTTGATGAATTTGGTGCAGCTGGGGCCTATATGTTATTGTTAGGTGCTGTCAGTATTTTCTCTGCTTATAGAGGTACTGATTGGGCGAGGCAATTTAAGATATTATTACATTATTGTTGTTGTTAGTTGCTGTCGAGTTGATTTGGACTCATGGTGACCTCATATGTGCAGAGTAGAACTGCTCCATAGGGTTTTCAAGGCTGTGACCTTTAGGAAGCAGATTGCCACGCCTATCTTCTGAGGTGCCTCTGTGTGGGTTTGAACTGCCAACCTTTCGGCTAGTAGTCGATTGCCTGATTAGGACTGTAATTTTATTGTAGTAAAAGAAGAACGTTGCCAGCTGATTGGCTTGGGTGTCTGTAGCTGAGTTGTCCAATATGGCAACCACTAGCCACATGTGGCTATTTACATTTGCATTTAAATTAATTAAAATTAAAAGTCCAATTCCTCGGTCTCATTAGCTACATTTCAAGTGTTCCAGAGCCACATGTGGCTAGTGGCTACCCTACTGGATAGCGCATATATAGAACATTTCCATCATCACTGAAAGTTTTATTGGATAGTGCTACTCTATAGTAAGCATTTCTCCTTCTCCCTTCAGTTTAAGTATTGGCAACACATTTGGCTGAGGCTTAGGCTGTTTTTCACTGACAGAGAGAAATTTAGCCATACATCTCTTTTATATTTACCTTTTAAAGGTTTTTTTTTTGTGTGTGTGTAATCTTTCCTCTCATTCATGTTCAGTTTTTGACATAAATTTGCATTTCACTTTGCTCCTGGGCCCCCAGAGGGGC